ATGTGTTTTCTCAATCCCTTGAATTTTGATTCGAATATCTCAACCTAAATCTTTGTTAAATTAATATCGGATCGTGAACATCATCTATGACAGACTAACTGGAAATAATGATCATCTTCTGTGTGAAAGATATCAGCCAAATTGACCTTTGGCATAGAATAACAACGGCATTTGAAAGGTCTGTGATTAAAACTTGAAACGCAATGCAGAAATTCTAACTTCATAATCAAAATCAGGACTGCAAGAATACATTAAAATGATTCGTTTTTTTTCCTAAAAGTAAAACCATTATTCATCAGTGTAGTTTAGGTTGCCGTATTCGTATGCTGGTTAGTGGGCTGGCTGGCATATCGTTGGGTCCAAGCTCGAATTTCGGGAAAGTTAAGGATGTCTATAGTTGTCTATCTCCCTTCTCGCCGGTGTAAAATCGGTTTATTCGCCGTCGCACACCCTGGGCAACATTCTTGGTGACGAGATGGTTGAATTGACATATAGCTTCCGTCATTTGTAATTAATCCTTTACGAGCGAATGTTCTAGAAAGAAAAACCTTTATGTTTGAGGAAATTCTACATAGTTTTTGCATTACATTTTCTGAAATTCGAATCTAACTATGACATCTTTGTCAACTAATATATGGTATTAGTATTGTAATAAAACTATAATACTAATAAACTCATTTAAGACTATTAATACTACAGTATGTTACTTTAAAATAGTCTCTTTAAGGTGTTTTCAACACTTTTCGGCTCTCACTTACTTTCAATCGTAATGCGTATCACCGTTTCAATCGTAATGTGTGCGTCAACACCGCACACATTTCCAGCTCCTCATTTAAGACTATAATTTAAGCTAACATTCGTTGTGTGCTTTTCACGAAGTAGAACACGCTAAAGAGAAGAAGTGGGAAAGAAAAGACATTTAGGGAAAGGGACCATCTTCCGCAGCAATCGTTACGATAGTTACGACACAAGTGTAAAGACGCCTTTAAAGAAGTCGGTTAGGATGAAATGACCTTGAAGTGTCTACTCTAAAGTAAAAATACTGAAATACCACCATAATGCTAAAAATTACCATTCTATGATACTAATTATTAATATTGTAGAATTTTAGTTATAGTAATCCTTGATTTCTTTTCCAACAGCGAATTACAAATTAAATCAGATAAAATTAAGCTTACTGTTGATTTATTTCCTCGTTTTAAATTTTTTTATTGATATAAATTAGGCAAGGGCAAATTCAAATGCCTTGGAGAATGGCAAATTATGATCCTGTCAAAGGTTCAAAAACTAAACTCCCTATTACAGAACACTTAAAATGCATAGTGCAGATAAAATATCACAGTTTACAAGTTGCTGGCATAATAAATGAATTACTAAATTACTAACTAATATAATAGTTAATTAATTACTGGATTTATAAAAAAATAGGATTACCAAAAATATAAGAGCGAAATCAATAACAACAACAACAAACAAACAAACAAACAAACAAAAAAACTATTGATTTTAAAATATATCGCTTGACATCATGCAATCCAAAAACATGTATTAAAATTTTATAGATGATTGCCCATTTATAATACGGAGGGTCATGAAAATCAGTAGTCTGAATGATATTGCTCACTTTTATTCGGAGAGTATTCTATACTTCAGCAATTTCTTTGACATTACTTCAGACACAGCAAACACATACATATTTTCCCTATAGTATATATGTATATATATGTATGTGTATGTGTGAGACGAAAATTAATTTGTTAATTTTGATATTTATATGAAAAACATTAATAAGACTATCAAACTATCTTTTGAAATTTCTAGTACAGCTCACACGGTAATTTTATCGAAAAACATAACTATGTTCTATGACTCATTTATTGAGATTTTTGAAATGTATACAGGGGCTTTAGTTCTAATAAATCCAAATATGTCGAGTTTCATTGCATTTCATATTTAGAAATCTGATCCCTATAACGCTATTAAGTATTTTATTTCCAAGTAATTTTATTTTAAATTTATATGAAATTTTTGTGATATTGTAAAGACATTAGGTTTTTGGAAGCAGGCGTAGATGAAAAATCAGCAATGCCATCGCCAGGACTCGAACACGGACCTCTCGAAGACGAGCTGAGTGTGCTGACCACTAAACCACGAGGGCATGTTAAGAAGGCGGGAAAAATACCTTACAATATGCATGAACAAAAATTTTTAAAATATCCGAAATGCCCTCAAATAAAAATAGTAAGCAAAAATATGTTATTATTTCGCTCAAAAAAATTAAATTAAAATTTAGCTCTAATAAAGTAGTAATTAAAAACGAAGGAGTTAAATTAGATTAATGACTAATTTAAAATAATAAAGTACCTTCATAAATAACTTAAATACGCTTATAAATATTCCCACTTGGAAACACAGGCAGATAAGCTTTTACTGCAAGAGATACATTCAGTGAAAACTTATCTATGAAATCTTCGTTCCGTGGCGAATCTAAAAGCAGATTTTTAATCTTTCCCAAAAGGTATTAAAAATAAAAAGAAATTAAAAAAGTAGCAGAAAAAACCACCTTTTAAAGAAGCTTTTCTTCTTTAAGCCTCACCTTTCCTTTTACTTAATGAGCGATCTCAACGATAAAAATAACGGGTTACAAATCTTAGATAATTCTTCGAGAAAAATACCAATTACGTTACCCAAATAATGATATTTCGCTTTTATTTATTTATTTATTATGCACAAGAATAATTAAGAATGATATATCTATTCGCGGATGGATTTTGATATAGCTGCCCAATGAGAATTCGAATAATTAGCTGTTCCCTTTCTTTAAAGTATATGATAGAAATTTAATCCTTCAACAGATATATAATTACATTAAATGTATTATAAATCGTCCAGCATTAGTTAAATCGATAGTTCTACCATTCTTTGCAAGAAATTTGAAATGGGAATGTTACAGAGAAAGAAAACGAAAACAGTAAGTTCCAAACTATGTTTAAGTTGGTTAAATTCATATTACGCTTAAATTATTTTAAATCAAAATTAATCATTTACTGTATAACTTAAGAAGAAAAATTAAAGTAATAGACTAATTAAATGCTAAACTTTATAATTGTGCAAAATCAGATCAATAATTTTTACACATCCATACGTTGTGTGTTTGGAATGTCTGATGTAATTACTTAGGAAAATGTCTAATACATTAATTGTGCCGAATTCTTTTCTCTACATTTAAACATAGGAATATCATGTGCATAATTGTATTACTATTATTTAAATTAACCAGTTATTTATAATTTCAGCCTTTACTATAACTTCAAGAGAAATGAAAAAACAACTCAACAGAAATGAAAGTGAGTTAGCGAGTATTTAAGCTGAGGATTTGAGGATTGAGAGATAAAGCGTGTTTTTTGTGCCTCTCGATGCCACTTTACTTAGTTTTGCTGGCTATGATAAGATTGTCATTATTCGGCTTTGCTTATAGCTGCAATCACTTAAATTATTACGCCGGTGAGAACTCTGAGCTAACTTAGATTTAAATTAAATTGTATAGTCTTTGACTACTAGGTTAAGTTTTAATTTGAATTTGACTATTACATTTAAGTTTCATTACCACAAGCGATCTTGTCAAGCACCAGAAGTGAGTTTATGTTTAAGTTCTGTTTCAATAAAAAGGTTATTTTAAAACCTTTCCAAGACTTTGTAGTTAATTTCAGGCACAACGATAATTCGCTTTGCGTCTGTTAAGATCCCAACAAACTTGATCATGAAATTTAATCTTAAATGAAACAGGAAAAACGTACAAAACATCCACTAGTAACATATTGCTTTTAGATTTGTGTTTCACTATGTTTTGAAACACACGTTTTAGGTAATTTTAAATCACATAATGCAAACGACAATTTCAAATATTTGGAATAGGCAAATCTAAATTTAGTCTTGATTGCTTTTTATGTAGAAAAAAATAGCGTGGTTTCTTTTCATGTAGAAATTTGATTGCTTTTTATGTAAAACAACCTTGAATGAAATGCAATATATGTCTTCTGAAACAAAACTTCTTTGGGGACAAACAGCAGCTTTAAAAATCTCAAAACGATTTGTCGATGGCATTACTGACATTTCTCATTTAATCCTAAAATTTAATATAGGCATAATTTTAATCGCATATATACATATATGACACAGCGAATGTCAATATATAATAGTCTTACCTATTTTATTTATTTATAAATATAAGTATAAATAGATATGCTACGAAAATTCATGTCTGAAATTACCTAATTGAAAATTGGGAAATAATGGAAATATACCACACTGCTTTTTATGTCTGAGGACAGGGCAATGAAGAAAGATATTGATGTGTTCATCGCCATTATTAATTAATAATAATTAAGAATGAGCATATTCACCATAACTCTTTATCACCGAATTTTCAGATTTAATAATTTCTTCTGTCATTATAATCCATCCTTAGAAATCGTTAAATTTCTGCTTATAGCATTTTTCACTAAATAAAAAACTCTAGTTCCTTAATTTCAATGAGAAATTAAAAAAATATTTTTGCATATTCAAAGTTAAAAAAATATGCAACACTGGGAATCTAAAACCACCATGGTACAGGCGTTGTTAAATATTATGTAGAAGGCATATATACAGGCAATATTCGATAGGTTGATTCAATACCGCTCATTCTAAGTCTACAACATAGGAACCATCATTCCCAAATGCCATTTACTTATGCAGATGGAAACAGGGATATGGATTCAAGTATGAGACAATATTAAAGGAGCCAATAATAATTAGCCGTACTGACAGAAATGAAAATTTTTGTTAAGAGCTTTTTACAGGAAATCAAATAAGTAATAACCTATTTTAGTTTTTTTTTATTAAAATTAAGTTTTTTCGGTTGAAATAATTGAGAAAGACGGAAGGCAGTTATGAAAATCACAAAGGAATTCATTTAGAAAGAAGTAATGAAATTTATTATAACTTGTAAAGACGCTTACCTATTAACATAGGAAATAGTAGCTGACCAACTCCCACGAAGAAATGTCCCAGTCCAACAGCAACCGCTAGCCTTTCAAGTCCTAAGTACTCCCTCATGACAACAGGAACATTTGTCATAACACATCCATTGAAAACTCCCATACATACTGAAACGGCCAAGAAAAGAGCATGTGTCTCGCACATAGGAAGTACAAGAAGCAAGCTTCCCATGGCAGCAAAGCAAAACATCACTGTATATTTCCTCTTTAAGCACTTGAAATCGGATATCCAGCCCAAACAAACGGCTCCGAAAAGATCACCGACGGAAAAAGCTGATACCAAGAAGACCGCATCTGGTTCATCAATGCCTCTGTCTCTGGCGAAATCCACGATGACAGTTAAATAGGCAATGAAGTTGACTACATTGCAGCCGAATGTTATGCATATGGCTAGATAAACAGGATTAGTAAGAATTTGAGCAGTGTGTCGGAATTGGCCAAATACACCGTCTTCTCTTTGCTTCATCTTTTGAAACAAAGTAATGGGTGTAGCTGTACCGAGTACAGGACATCGAGCAGGTGAGGAAGGAGCTTCAGTATTATTACACAGAAGCCGATAATCACCATTCTGTTGGGTGCCATTTGGAGATTTGCACTGGTGTTCCGTGTCGTTGCCATCTACGTGTTCATTTGTATTAGGAATAAGAATGATTTGGTGAGTTGAGACATCACCTGTGGTTTCATTCTTGACGACAAGTGGTTCTGTAGGGGAGACATCATCCACTGCGGTGGACTAAAATAAAACAAGGACAGAAAATAAAATTACCTTATGAAATAAATTTAAACATTAAGGTTTGCTTAACGTCATTCTTCAGCAATTTCATTCAATAATTTTCAAGATTTAAATGCTGACTATTAAAAATGAACAATGGTTTATCCAAATGAAAGTAATAATAAAATCTGTAATAAAACTATCAAAATGTTTTATATTTTCTTTATCAATAGCTAGAATCTTTGCATATAGTGGCTAACTGTATATATGCATATACAAAGTGTTTCAGCACAGCGGTTACAAACTTTCAAGAGAGATAGAGTACACCTAAAAAATGGAAAATTACATAAATATAAATTCAAGCACCTTATTGACGTTTCTTTCTGTATAATTCGGTGTAGTTTGTGTGCATTCCATAAATATCATTTTAATGGCTTCAAAAATAAGGAATTTGGTAGAAATAATATTAAAGGAAATTTGGAACTTTCACATGAGAAAAATCACTTCCTTATTCTAAACGAGAATGATTGTTTATTGAATACAGTGCTAAATTACAAAAATAAACTTAAATGTTGAACTTAATGTTATTATGAAAATAAACTTAAATGAAACTTAAATGTTATTTGCAGACTAACGTCCTCAAAAGGTTGGTAAACAAAAAAAAAAAGCAAGCCTAATATACACTAAAATAAATCTATGTTTACCATCATATATTACAGCGCAGATCATTTTTATGATAAAGATATCTGTCATTGGAAATCTAAAAATACGCAGATTCTCAGTTGATGCAATTACAGTAATATTATTACAAGATTTAGCTTCTTGTTAAGATGGTATTTATAGACAAAGAGACTCTAATTTTCATATAATCATCTCACTCATCATTAAATCTTCATCACATGAATTTATAAGAATTTTTATTTAAACTAAAGCTATGGCTGTATCTTGAAATTTTCCGTATTAGGTATGAAATCGTCTTTAAAATCACATTGACTGCATGTAGGAAATATGTTGACTGTATGTGGAAACTGAAATATAATACGTCAGTACTAATAAAGCAATACATTATATCAAATATTACCAAAACGTTATCGTACTTTTTTCTTAATCATTTATCATATTTATTATATTCATCTAAAAGTATTTATACTGTTTCAGGTTTGCTTTGTACGATATCATAAAATTAATATTTTCTTTCAGTGGGAAAATCTTATATTCATTTGTTCGCATGCCTTAGTTTTATTGGATAAATAATTTACTACTTTTATTGTGAATTATATTACCAATTAACTAAAAACATAACAAATAAATCTGCAGTTATCCTTTGCTTTCAGTTGGTTACAATTCATTCAGATTATCACGGAATTGCCTTCTTTTATTGCCCGAAAAAACAAAATTTTCCTTATTCTAACCTAAGACATTTCTTTGCTTTTTGACTTAATTGTCAAATAATGCAGTGAGGTTTACATGAATCCTAGTGTAGTGCGGTTAGAAACGTGAGATCAAAACAGGCTGAAAAAAGATAAATGAAGGCAGTTAATGTAGCGAAACCAATTTAATCGCTTTCTCTTTATCGTAAACATTGTAAATTCAACTAAAATCTGCCATCTTAATACACTCAGACTTTTAGAATCACGTGACTTTAGCATCACGTGAATTTTGTTGTCTGATCAATGACGTCAAAGAGAGTTATCTACTTATAGATACAGTAATTTTTCTGCTTTCACATAATCCCCATCCAAATTAGTTTCAAGAACTGTGTTATGAAACTTGCTTTCAATCGGCATAATCTCTGATTTAAAAGTATGTTATGAACTTAATTTTCAGAATCAGTTGGCAGTATTTTGCAGTTTTAATCTCTTAAACGTGAGATTTAAAAAACACCTCTTCAAAAATCTAAAAAATAAATACACACATTAAAATGGTTAACTTTTTTTAATACTACTGCAGGTTTAACAAATAGCTTTACATTAAAATTCTTCGACAAGTGTTTTTATTTTGGCTTATTTTTCTCGATGCAGGTTTGTTCCAGTTTTTCTAGAATAACTATGTAACAAAACTGCAATTATATGAAACCTCAATTTTTGGAGTGCTTTGCCTTTTACTTTTCAGGTCAAATAAAATTGTTATTATTTGTTTATATGCTTTTATATTTTAATTGTTTTAAATATACTGCCCTCCAAAAGTTAAGGAACAGCATATTTTTGAAGGCTCATTATTATAAAAATGTCAATAACATTTAAACTCACAATTTATATGCATGATAGTAACGAAGTTTAAGAAAATATACGCAACTTTTTTTTATTTTATAGAAAGGAATACTCATAGGCACAAACTGAAGAAAAAACCAAAATTGTAAGTTTTGTTCACGAATGTTGATCTTCAATTGTTATTAGCGGCTTCATTGGCTATATCCAAGAGAGTCTATCAATGTCCAGGCGAAGTCATTTGCCCGATTCGTTGAGGAGGCGAGCGATTGGATAGTTGGAAATGGGGATGTCACAAGCTGATGCTGCTAGACGTCTTAATGTCTCTCGTAGTGGGGTCCACCAACTATGGAACTGGTTTGAATCCGAGGATTCTGTGTCTAGAAGATATCTTCCAGGCAGACCTAGAGTTACAACCTGGAGACCGTTATTTAGCTCTTTCGGCCCGAAGGAGGAGTAACATTACTGTGCTTCAGCTCATGGCAGATCATGTAGTGGACACAGGAACAAGAATCTGAGTTGCTATAGTGCGCAGAAGCCTGCACAACACAGGTCTGTATGCAAAACGACCAGTTGTTTGTGTCTTCTTGACCCGATGACACAGAGGTGCTTGTTTATGTTGGGCGAGAGAGCTCGTCTTCTGGACCAGTCAACAATAGATGTCTGCTCTCTTCACAGAAGAGTGCAGGCTCACAATGGAGAGTGATTCAGATCGTCAGCTGATCTGAAGGGAACAACACACCAGATATAACCAATCCCACATTGTGGAAAGCCACAGTTACAGAGGTAGTGTAATAATGGTTTGGGTTGGGAGCTCTCTCGTTGGTCACACTAACCCGTATGTATTGCTTGGAGGAACTTTGAGCGGTGTGAGATATCGAGACGAGATTCTTGATCAATATGTCCGCCCATATGCCGCTGGTCCTGGATTTCTTCTGATGGACGACAATGCGTGACTGCACCGAGCTCGGGTTGCTGAAGAATATCTTGAGAATCACGCTGTGGAGCGGATGGAATGGCCAGCTCAATGCCCAGACTTGAATTCGATACAGCATCTTTGAGACTACCTTATGAGACAGGTTGCTGTTTTAAGTCCTTCTCCAAAGTCGTTAGATGAACTTGAACAAAGATTACTCCGTGTCTGGTCGTTACTTCGCATTTCACTAACCGACAACTTAATTGACAGCATGGGATGTCGCTGCCGCCAATGTATTGCAGCTTAGGGTGGACACATTCCTTATTAGAACCTATTTTTGTAATGTTACCACCCCCATTTTCCTCAAGAAACTGTAATATACTCTTTCTCCAAGACTGATTTCTGTGCCAAGAGTGCAATTTTTTGTTGTAATTCATGTTTGTTTTGAACTTTAGAAACATTCTATGTTGCGTTCATTAAAGACCTGCTTAGTGAACATGTCCTCTAAATTTCTGATTTCTATATTGCTGCATTCTCAAATTAGACACAAAAAACATGATGTTCCTTAACTTTTGGAGGGCAGTGTAATATAACAACACAAATGAGTGAAGTGCATATTTTAAGAAGCTTTTAAATTAATTAAATTACTGCATTATACATGGATATTGACTTGCAGTTTTGTCAAATAATACACACGTTACATTGGCCTATAAACTTTTATTGGAAAGCAATTTGGCATTTAATACAGTTCTAATGCTGTTTATTTGTTACTACAAATCATTGTTTAGCTACAACATATGCTACTTTTCTAAAAATAAATTTACTTGCTTAGAAACTGTTTGTTTTTCCTAAATACAAATAAAAAACCTTTTTAGTTTTAGTACATCAAAAAAAAAACTTTTTTCAGTTTACTTTTAGAGATTGCAAAGTTAAAAATTTGTTTTATTTTAGATGCGACAGGAACTGTTCACGTGTTTAAGTAATTAAAAAAATTGTCCCATTTAATAGGAAAGAGTGTTTTTATTTTGGTTAACAGAAGAAAAATATTTTAATTTGTTTCTTTAGTTTATTTATTTAATTATTCATTTTGACTGAGTGATCTTTACAGAAGAAATAAAACGCCATAAACAAAGAAAGCTCTGCCTTCATTTCAGTTAGAATAAATGCTTGTTTGGTTAGCTTATTTCGAATATGGCAAAGTACATCATAGATATGGACAAGGATTCTTTCTTATTTGCTTTTCTATCATAAGGAGAACTGGCTCCTCTTTATTGACGCACAGTGGCGCAAGAAAAAAAAAAAACACAATCTTATTATTCGGATACAAGATAAATAGGAATTTATTAGGTAAAATTTAGTCGTTGAATACAATGAAACACTTACATACTATTTCAGTACGTAATCACCTAGCTCTGCAATACATTTCTCGGAGAGCCCACAGGGCTTGTTCATTTTGACTATAGCGTGAACTAATACATCTCTGTTTCTTAACAGGTAAGTGTAGGGTCTACAACAGGCATCTGCAATCTCTTTTGACTATGGGTCCAAATTAACCATAATGCGTGTATAAAGATGAAGTTTCGGGTCAGTGGCATTTTCATTTTAAAACAGTCTTTTTTGGTGAATAATAAAGTAAATTTTATTGAGAAAATAATAACAATACGCTTGTTTTATGCATAAAATGTAAAGGTTTATTATTTTTTAATTTATTAAAATGTTTAAAATATTTTTTAAATAAAAAAAGGGTCGCTCGGTCATTGGTTGCCGAGGCTAGGTCTGAAACGTCGTTCCATCTTTCTCATAACGCTGCATAAATTGCATGACTACAAACAATATTTTTCCTTTGTGTTTGGGCATTAAAAGGCTGTAAATCCATTTAAAACTCATACTGATAAATTTAAAATGTTCTTCAACTAATGCTTCCATACTACTAACATTTATATTAAGTTAGGAATTTCTCTGACGGTGATTCTCCAAGTTAGTTTAAAAGTGGCAATCAGCTCTTCTTCATTGGTTGAGATTCATCAGCATGGAATTGATTTTTAATTGTTACGTGGCTGCCTTTAAAATACTATCACCAATCATAGCTTCTAAAATAATCACCTCCAAACTCGTTGTTAAGTCTGAATAAATTTGAGACCTTTGTTAGTCAAAAATCTGTTGATAATTCGCAGTGCAGCAGTGTTGTGAATCTCCTGCTCCACGTTGATTAAAACTGACAAGGATGATAGTGTGAGAAACTATAACTACTGCTGACAAGTTCAAACATACATGTGTTTACCCAGTGCGTCATGATTACATCAAAACATTTACAAGAACAGAGTATCAAAATTCCTGTTTGTATTTAAATATACTTCTTATTTCATAATACGAGGAATGGGCTGTGGTCTAGTAAGTGCAGATACATGCAGTTTAACAGTACACTTTTATAAATAAGATCGCTGTAATAAGATGCACTTGATAACAATGTGTAAAATACGAGTATTTAGAAAAGATTACGAAATGAGGGAGATATATAAAAATGATAACAATTCATATACGTATACAGACAGTTAAAAAATGATAACGATGCATATACGTATACAGAAAGATAAAAGCGAAGTGTCTTACTTCTGTAGACGCATGATTTGCTCCAATGCCAACTTTCGGTTCTAACAGTGCAAGTTTGCCACCAATCGTTTTCTTACTGGCTATTGCAGCTTGCGTCGGTGCAGGAGGATCTCGAGCCATGAAGGCAGGTATAAGGCCATTTAGTATTATGGCTCCCAAGATCAGGAAACAGCCTTTAAATCCATAGGCGGCCAGTAAGTACTCGATGAGAGGTGGAAGAGCAAATGAACCCACTGATGCACCAGCGTATGCAATACCAGTAGCAGTCGCTTTACGGTGCTTAAAATGCTGATGTATGAGGACGGGATTGAGCGTGACAACAAGTCCATTACCAATTCCTAGAAAAAAATATGATACATGAGAAAATTACATTCTTATTCTCAATTTAAAATTTTAATAGAATATCTTAACTTTATGAAAGGTCACGTTCCAGTTCTTTGCCGTTTAATATTCATACTAACATTGTAAAAGATGTGTTTATAAATATGTACCTAAGCATTTGATTTAGAACTCAGAATTTAAAGTTGAAGCGCATTTTGTAATGAGGAAAGGAACATACAGAGGTCTGCAAATTACAATTAGCAAAACCCTTCATACAGAAGTATATAAAGAGACCGTCGGAGAAAAGTATACGCAATTTAGGCAGATGATATTTGCGTATCGATTTAGGTGTTGAATTATCTTTACAATACGTAATATGTCGTTTGCTGAACACATGAGGATCTTCGTCAAGAAATTACAGCGCATGTGCAGCAATTCCCGCGGACACACTAATCAACGTTGTTCATGCAACCGCTTGTCATCGTACTATGTGTCTGGCTACTAAGGGAAACTATTCTGACATTGTGAGCCCTCTGATGTACAGGTACAGATGCAGGAAGATTGTATTAAACCTCACTTAATACTAACCTAAGTAAGTATAGCGGACCGATTATATTAACTTATAATTCAGTTCGGTATTAATACACAATAAATAATTTTCCTTCATTAAAGTATGGATAAATTTTTTTCTGATGGATCCTATACACATGGTTGAGACAAAGTTTAAGCAAAATAGTTGGTAATAATACATAAAGGTCCGAAGCGGCACTCTGCCAGTTGTCCTCGTCCTCCGTCACCACCCACAGAACTACGTAACAGTAATTAAAGATCGGTGTAGTCATCTGCCTACACGAAAATAATCAATCCTACAGAAAATACGTTTGCTTTAAATGGTATCAAGTACGCAATGACTAGACACCAGAACACATGCTGGCGATCGCCACAGATTAAAAGTCTAATGTTCATGAATCTTGTTTGCCCGTCGAACTGCTACCTATTTACCCATAGTACCAAAATCGTTGGAAGATAGTTCATCAAGCATGAAATTTTATTAAACATAACTGGGACTTTTAAAGCAAAAGTATTTATAAGCAACATTTTTATGCAAAATCTAACTCAGGTCACCAGAATATTTACTTTTACTAAGGCAAGTGGTTTCGGTGTTAACCTTTTTTTTAAAATATAAAAATGGAGGAAAACGCCTATCCACCGCTAATTTGTAAATTCATTTTATTACTTTTTTTATAAATTTATTAAAGGGATTTTCAAGTTTATAATGACTGCTTGTTGTTTGAATAGCAGTAACAAATTTTTGAATAATAGTTTTATAACACTGATGTTAAGGCATCAATTCTCTGAACATTCTTCGACAACGCACTTAGACGTCGCAGTATGGATTGGTTTGGGTTATTTGGATTATGTGAAGTACACTTAAAAGAAGGGATGCTTCCGTGTAAGATCTTTCTAAGAGAAGTTAGCTGGTATTCACACCATGAAGTTGTCATATGTACGGACACGTAAGACAGTTAAATCCTTTTTCGAGAAATGCATTTCTTCCAGCATTAGTTTTAATGGAAAGCTTCTAATAGCAACGTTTAGACAACAGTTTCGTTTATTTATCTGTTTCACGTACGTAGCCAGAATATTTTACGATTCTGGGGGGAAAATTACGTTGGCAGTTCTGTTTCACGTAGGAGAGGAACCAATCAGACGAAGGTTTTGCCTATACTTCTGGCTGGTCTTCTACTATACTTTTTGAGAAATGTTCTTCTTACAGAAGTTTCTTATTGAGTTTTGCGTCGATACGTTTCAGCAGGTTTTTTTTTTTTTTTTTTTTTTTTTTTTTTTTTTTTTACGTTTTAGCAGGGTGATATGTAATCAAGCACGAAAAATCCCATGCAGCCAACCCGAAGTTTGAAGTTGGGTGGAATTACCGATATTCAGCAATCTTACTACTTAGCCACTAGTCGGTAACGGAATAATAGGATTGTAAAAATACTTAATGTATTAATAATGAAAAAAGTTTTAATGTAAAAACTTTTTTTAAATAATGTAAAAAAAGTATTTAATGCTTAATGTAATGAATTATCAATGATTACGAATCACAACAATAAGAGAGAGAAACTCTAATTGAAAAGAGTATAAGAAAGCTAAACACTACAGTTATAACTATTAAAATCTTAAACTGTTTCGTACTCAATTTTAAAAAATCAATAATTCGCTTGAAATATTTTTTCCCTATATATACTTTTTACTATTCTAAAAAATGACAGACATTCTTCAAAGACAGAAAATGAAAATTTAAAGAGTAGTCTTTTAACGTATTGTTAATTTTTAAATTTTTTTCGCGAAAATCCATTAATAACTCAATATTAATCAGTAATAATTTAAGACTGATTATTATTACAACAGCATGTTTAAGAATATTATTAGCACCAGTAAGGGAAAAGAAGAGTTTTTAGTCAGCCTTACCTCTGAAAAGTCCAAAGAATATGATGAGGTACATCAACGACGGAGTGAAAAAACATGCTGCAATTGCAACAGCGGACACCAATACACCACTAACTAATATACTTCGAATACTGAAATAATGTGTCAGAAAACCTGCCAGTGGACCTACGGAGAAAGAAAAATATGATGCATCAGTTTCGTATTAAAGCACACATTCTATTTTAGACAACATATATTACTTGCATAAACTGGTTTTTCTAGTCACTTATTACAACAACAACAAAAAAAAAAAAAAAAAAAAAAAGTGGATAAGAAAAATCCTTTTGCTAAACGGCACGCATCTTTCATTAGTAGCTAAGTAATGCAATATATCATTCTGTGCAGAAATAATGTATGGTTCTGAAAACATTTTCAAGCAATTGGCACCAATGGTATAGATATTTGTAAACATTTTTAAGAATTAGGTATATTATTAATTACATCAACTACCTATGTAGATGTAAAAATAATGCTAATAGTTATTAAGAAACGCATATATTGTTTTTAGTTATTTTACCTATTACATTACACGCAATATATTTTATTGTTTGAAGGCAAGAATCTTCAGCCGAAAGTTTGGCAATTTAATTCTTGTTGATCCTGTTGTGGTAACATAATGCAACATTACCTTATGAACCGAGAAACTGAATGTCTATACTAAAGAATTTTCTAATATTAAACATGCGCAAAGTATAAAGCCTAACTTAAGATTACAAAGTCTTTTCCTTACAAGCCATAATTATTAGATTATTAAAATAAATTGCGCAGTCATTTCGTTTAGAAGTCATCGCAATTAGACTTTGAATGAACCTTATCAATTGTATAGGCCCAGTATATTTATATTCTGACATAAAAGTATAATTTTCAAAATAGTGTTTTCGTAATCAAGATTTTTTAATAAGTTACAATAAATGTTAAAAAAACAACTAGTCCCCCCTTTTTTTTTTGTCAGATTCAAGATTTATTTTCGTAGCTAAAGGATTTCACCTTCGAAACAATAGGTCTGCAATTTAATCGCGTTAAAGTTAAATGATTCTTGTTGCTGGTTATTTATCACCTTAATATTTAGCTCTTTGGCGTGTTCTTCTTACTGCATTATTATAATTATGAAAAAATATCTAACAATAATTTTAATATTATAAACCTTCATAAACCTTTCTCCTTCCTCAGGGAGACAGTCTGGACGGAAGATTCATGTTTAAATCCAGTTTATGAATATATTTCAATTGCATAACAAATTTTGAATTTCAAGTGAAAAAGTATTAAATGAATTCACTTCGTTTAATAAATATTTGACTGAAAATAAACTTTTCTGAAAAATTGACAGTCGTTTTAGCTATAATCCATTTCAGCCAAAAGTTGAAAAGATCTTTTTGTTGAAAGATTTTTTTTTTACTTTAAGCAAAACGAATCGCATCATAACTAATGATATGCGTCTCATTATATAGTAAACTAAAAGTTGATATAACGACTGTTCAGCTCTTGTTACGAACACGCACTCGTTTAATCAGGATAAAATGAATTATTCATAGAAATTTCATGCTGATTTTCTAAATTTATTCATTAAAATTTCTGAAGCTGAATGACAACTAACGAAAGAGCTAGACTAAATATTTACAGGCATCGTGGCTCAGCAATAATGCCATCATAGCTGCATTCGTTATCTCCTTTAATATTAGTTTAATTTTGTTTACTTCTGAAGCAAGTTATTCAGGAAAATAAGAAGTTAAAAGCTGGCAATGCTAAAACATTTAACTATAAATTAAATATCCAAAATAAACTACTGCTTTATTGAGTTTTTGACCAAAGATGAGTGAATATTTTTCTAAATGAAAAACGTTTTCTGTGAACGTTTCTGATCTTTTGAATATATTTGCAAGCAAAGCTTATTATCTGACTGCATATTATGTTGGTTAAAGAACAGCAGGCCCTAAAGTCAAATTCATTCCGTGGAATATATATTGGGCTTAAAGATAACGCTTATATTCTGAGAAATATTTGACAATTCCAATTTATACTGTAAAGTGGCTCCAATAATGTATTTTATTTCATAAAAATCTAATTTCCTTCCCTTCATTACTGAAGCATTCTCATCTTTTTCTCCACTTTCCTCTGGCATTGATATTTTCCCTCTTACTACGCAAATATTTTCCCAGTCATCTTCATTCTGCAATAAGCACTCAGTTTTTAATAAAAAAAATCATTCATTTTTTAATAAAAAGTTTTATAAAATATGAAACAGACAATAAAACAAATTCCAAATTCGGGCTTCCAGATGTCCATGCTAAGGTGGAGAACTATGTTATTCAGAATTTGATGACTCTAGGTACCGTTGTTTTTACACAATGGGAGAAACTTACATTCATGCAGATTCTTAATTATTTATTTTCTTTAAACATATTCTACAAAGCGATAATACTTGGTAGCAACGATTTAAAAAGTGATTTGAAGCAAAATGCCGTTTTGGGACTAACAGCCCATTTGGGCTAGAAAGAGGAGAAGAAAGAAACCCTTTTTCTTTAATTTTCACCTTTTTATTATTATCACTACTGCGGTTCGCTAGCTATTTTCAAAGGTTGCATTTGGCCCGTTTGCAATTTAAATTTGAGACACCGCTTTAGAACATTACGCTTTAGAAAAATATTAAAATTATGCATAGTAGAAGGCGCGTTACTATATCAGGCTCATCCAAAGAAATAAATATCATTATTATTAAAGGGCCAACCAGCGGCCGAGCGGTAAAATCGCTGAACACTGGTAGTTCGGTCCGAGGTTCGAATCCCGCGAACGGGCTGGCTGCATGGGCGTTTTCGTGGTTTTCCCCATGTGTAACGTGTATACGAGCCAGTTTCCCTTAGAAAGGCATCCCTCCTCTTAGGCAGATAGCCCTAGTGTGCTTTGCCGTATTCTCAATACACTAACTTTATTACTAAAGTACAAAAGATGTATTTCAAATTCTGTGTATCACACATTTATTCTTTGCAATGCTTTTTCATACACAAATCTTTTGATATTGATCTGCTTTTTTATTCATTTGACGACTTTATATCTGCCTCATTTTAACTGAAAATTGGATGCAAATTTGAATTTCAGAAAGCAAACTATGTTTCTAGAAACAATTTTTACAATAAAATATAATTAAATCTCTAGGAATTGCATTGAAACTGAGCAGTTAATTTTATTTCGTAAAAATTAAAGCAAGTTAAAATAATTCAAATTGGAAAATACATCTGAATTATTGCGATTATATGCTGAAATTTTATTCAATATCTTCGTCTGAAGACTTATTTATTTATAGTTATTTTTCAAAAATAAAATACTTAAAAATTTATACTTAACTTTCAAAGTACATTTAAACAAAATTAAAACATATTACACTTTAACTGCGATTTACTTCTCATAAGCAATATTTATATAAGCTGATGCGTACTATATTTCAATATCGCAGATAAACAGATGTGTACTATATTTGAGTTCTAAACTAAGTATTTCCTATGAGATACTATCATTTCATTACTTCGGAAAAGTATTATTATGTTAAAAACACACTAAAACGTTTATTCACCTTTTTTACAATGGTTAATTTGCCAATAACCAATTTACTCGCTGCCAGATACTTCACTGAAAGCATAAATGTTGGAATCATAGTCACAGAAAACAGATTAATAACACAAGTTACCATATACAGTTGTATTTTGGCTTACTCTCTTAAACACGAAAAAGATGCAGTTTCTTTGCGTAAGAGATGATTTGATTAGTTATAAAGGGACATCATATAAGAAGCATCTTTCATAAATAAACGTATTAAAAGAGATTGAAACATTACTCATAAATGAATTCCACGAAAAAAAGTCGCAGTAATTAGTCACTTTGTCTTATTTTATTATATACAGAAAATCTGTACTCATCATCTTGTATTACTATTAGAATAATATTTGCTTTAACAGCATATAAGTTCCGTTTACTACAATATTGTTGTTTAAGTTATCTTACTTGTGTAAGTCCAGAAATGTTTCTCAACCAGAAGCACGGGAATGCATCTGCAATTGGCATGGACCTCCAGCACCTTACATGTGGCAAAATAAATATGCAAAACTCCATTCCAAGTTTCAAAGAGAATCTTTTGGAGGGATCTCAGAGTCCCCCGCCCCTTTTCTTCTATCATCAAGCCTCTCGAGGTAACTTTTGGTTCTTCAGTATTATAAGTGTCCTTCACCGCTCCATTCACTTAACAAACAACCAAGCCTTTCTTCGGATTCTAACACAAGCCTAACCATACGTCAGCCAACTCTGTTAAACACGATCAGGGCGGCACTATAGCGAAAAGACAGATTTACCTGTCTACATTACTTCTAAAGTGTTTTTTTTTTCAATTTTTTTAAATATAAATAAATAAATTTTCAAAAGATTCTTTCCCATTTCCATAAAGAAGGATATTCACAAATTTAAAACTTGAAACTGCGATTTCTTTCTCAATTTTTAGAATTCTTTTATAGCCCTTGAAGTGATTAAGAGAAAGCCTAAACCACCATTTCAGCCATCTTTTCCGTATATATCTTAATCCTGTGGGCGTATCTTTCACGACATAAATTACCCACAAACATCCTAAAGTGATTCCCAGTTCATTAGTTACTCCACATCTGAAAACATGTGAACAACTGCTGTTCACATTGAATTGCTGAACAACTGCTTAATTGATTTGTCAAATTTATGCAGTCTCATAAATCAGCAAATCAAATGAATAGTTTACGCAATAAAGGCATAACTCAGAACCGACAAGAAAGACCACAAAATTAACTAATTGGTAAACATCGCACGCAGTTCTTATTTCCTACCCTTGATCTCAATTCGTAATATATTTTAAACGAAACGCCTCAACTCTTCTTTTTTCGGATATTCGCAGTCGAATTAGGTAGGCTGATTAAGTCAAAGATTTCGGCTAGTTCGGAATATTAATCTAGCCGCTAAGAAGAGATCTTTCACGTTTCCTTGAACACGGACCTTTCATCCAGATGAATGGCCAAGCGACTGACCTTCCACAAGTCATGTGAGAATATTAAAATCTGCTCACGTGACAGATTCATGGTCTTCCGCAACAACGGAATACCTTTTGTTCATGGCATAAG